TTTGCATCCTCATAAAGTTTTTTAGGTTTCATTTAATCTTTATTTTATGTTGGTTTACTAACAAAGTTTGACTACATTGCATTTCACACTATTCTTCATTCACATTGTGTTTCATATGATCATTCCTATTCATTATGTTTTATAAAATTAATCGTCATCAGAATATGCCCACCATTACACTATCTTTTCACGTCCTTGTAATTTTTAGAACAGCAGACTGTCATGTCTTTCTCCTATGGACTCAAACTGATGACTTCAGTTCATAGCCTGGCTTGACCACTGCACCTCCTGGGCTTCTGTGTTACCTTTTGCAAAACTAAAATAGATTTAATCATCTTAAATGTATTGCTGTTGTTGTGATTGCCTTCAAATTGAGCACACCTCATAATGACCCGATGAACAAAAGGCCTGAAGCCTTTCTATTACTCTCGACATTTATCAAAGTCCATAGAGTTTCCAGAGGCGTGTTGATTACGAAGTGGATTCCATTCCTGCTTCCAAACCTGTCTTAAACTGGGAGCTCCACCAAACACTGTCAACCATGGGTAACCATTAAAAATGCTATTAACATATATTTTTCTTTTTTCATCAAAGATCTTCAGTTCAAAAGCAATTTGCTAGTCAGATTTAAATGATTAAGATCATGAAAGGAATGAATGTACTTTAAAATATCTATTAATTCAATTATTATCCTTATTTCATCCTCCATGCTCACAGTCTTCTGGAGGTCATTGATTAAATTTCCATTCTTTGAATTATATATTTGAATTTGTTATAATCTCAACTTGGTCATAGTTTCTTCTGAAGTGTGGCTTATAAAAATATTTCTCCTCTTTTCCTCACTTTTCATATTTCTCCTTTTCATGTGTTTCTTTCTAGTGGAAGCCTGAACTATGTTACAAAGATAAACATTCTAAGTTGCTTAGAGGTCAACAGAGAAAACCATTTGGTGCCAGCCTTGGGGGATAGGATAGCATCAGAGCATCAAACTAGAAGGTTTCCTAGTTTCTAATCCTCCTTCTAGAAACTATTCCTTTAAGTGCCCTTTATGAGCTTCTGCTTTGGGCACTGAGATTGAGCAGTAACTCTATATTATTTGGTATTTTGAAAGTGTTTTGGATATAGTATTTCCCTTATTACATCCACAAACAAACTTAGAAGCATTATTATTTTACAGGTTAGAAGACTAATCTTCATCAATTAGGCCCTGCTGTTATGTACTGTTGGTATTGTTGTTATGTGCCTTAGAGTCACAACCACTGACCCTCCAGCAGGTTTTCTGAGGCTGTAAATTGCATGAGAGGAAATGAGTAGCTGATGTTTTAAACCATGTACTTTGGGGTTGACAGTGCAACTTCTTGCCCACTAGGCCATGAGAGCTCCTTCTCTGAGGGGCTAAGAAATATGAAAATGTGGATGTTATTGTCCTAGTCCTCAGAAGTTTATACCCTATTGGAGGATTTGAGAAATTTAACACAAATATTCAGTGCATACCACATATAACGAGAGAGAGCGTGTGGTGAAAGTAGAGTGAAACAGTATGGGAACTCTTACTTTTTCTTCGTTTTCTTTCTTTTTGTCTAAGATTTTATCCCAACACAGAAGGTAATCTGGGAGATTTTTGTTTCCCAGGGTAGTACGTGCGCTGCACACCATAGTTACAGGAGTTTTAAAAACAAAAGCAATGACTAAGCCTTAAACCAGCCTGTTTGCATCCATAATAACAAAAAGCTCCAAAGTCATGGCCCTGAGAGACAAAAGCTGCAGCAGGTGAGCCAAACCCCCACTTTCTGAGGCGTAAGTGGTTTAGGACTTAGACAAGAATTGGACAAAAATGATTCAGTATACACAAGCGCAGGGTAACTTTAGATATCAGAATAAGGTACCAGAGATCTTAAAAACGAAGCATATTCAGCCTCAGCCAAGAGGTGTCAGTCGTCTAGCTTTCCTGCTGAGATAAAACTGTTTCTTAAATGTAGTTGGAAATCAGTAGTTTCTCTGAGATGATGGATGGGATATGAGTGACACTGTCTTAATGGGAAGGCAAGAGCCGAGGATATGTACTCAAATTCAGTAGCAAATTTTAGTCTGGTCCTTTTGTTTTGCTTTGTTAACATTTTTTTTTAAATAATCTCTTAGATTTAGAAAAAAATCCATTTTTATTGCACCATAATGCAATATTTTAAAAATTTATTTCTGATACTTCTACATTCTATTTCTTTGGCTGGAACTATTGCTGCGATTGATACTGAACCAGTCTCAGCAATTTTATTATCATTATCACTACCATCATTTGTCATTTATTAAACAATTGCTGGGGGTCGCATATTGTATTAAGTACTCTACGCACGTTATTGTATTTGATTTTTCAGTAAACTTAGGAGATGGATACCATTTGTCCACAGATCAGCAGGTGAATAACTGGGATTTAGATAAATTAATTGGCTCAAGGTCACAAAATACTTTATGTAACCAAGATTCGTACCCATTATTCAGCCTCACCCCATAGAACCTGCTTACAAGTTTTGTCTCTACCGGCCCCTAGAGTTAAAACTGAGAACATTTCTTTTGAATTTAGTTACTTGAACAAGGGAGCTCTGGTGGTGTAGTCTTTAGAGTATTGAGCTCCTGATCCAAGGCTGCCTGTCTGTTAGTGGTTCAAATCCACCAGCGACTCTGAGACAGAAGGTGGGCAGCCTTCTTACCTTATGAGTTCCAATCTCAGAAACCCAGTGAAGGGTTGCTGTGAATTAGAACTGACTAGATGACAGCGAGTGAATAAACAGCAAAAGTAAAGCGAGAAGTTAATACCTGAATTGTTTTTCAATCCAATTATGAATTATTTTAAAAGATATTGCAGCAGTCTTCTCTTTATATTGATGCTGCTACACACCTTTGAATCAACTCATAGCTGACCCTCCGGATAATTTCTAGAGGCTATAAATGACATTAGAGGAGATAGCCCAGTGCATTTGGATTGGCAGTACATGTTGTAAAAATTACAAAAATAAAACCTCTCGAATAACTTTGATAATTTTTTTAAATCTTCATTGTTTTTATACTTGAAATTTCAAAAAATGCATAGAAAACTTCCATATATTTCTCAGCCTGAGATAAAATTTAATGAATTTAGTGAAAACATACATAAATTTATAATAAATGTTTTATTTCTGAATATATTTGTATGTGTATTGACACAGATACTTAACATCGATAACAATGGGTGGTGCATTGAAATGCTTTTCCTCAGCAATACCTGAATTTTTTTCTTGTTTAAGTAAATTGCTTTTTATGTTTTAAAGCAAAATTAGCCAGAAAAGTAGTTAAATGAACTGTTTCACCTCAAAAAAATCCACTGTAAATATGTATTTTTTCTTCTAAAATCAGGCCCCAAAACTTGACTTATTCAAAGAAAAGACAGCATTTTATTGAAAAACGTATTTGAATTTCTTTTTACTTTGAGGTTTTATCCAACAATATGGCAAGTAAAATGAACAACCAAAAGCCAATTTCTCACCTAGTTTAAGTATTTATTTCTAGATTAATAGAATTGTTGAAACAAACAAAAATTAATTCTTTTACATTTAAAGAAAAGATTCTGTTATTAACTGATTAAAAAGCCTAGAGCTAATATGGGGAGATCTGAAGAAAAAAAAATTGCATTTGATCTAATATTTATGCTTTGCCCTCTTGCCACTCTTTATCTTAACAAAGATGTTTATATCTACCTAATATTTGTACTTTATTATTATTTCTAGGGAATTATTTATTAAATAATGATTCCGGAGACCACAGCAACCGGCTTAGTTAGGTTAATAATTTTCCTGAGGCTTTATTAAAGTTTGTCCACATCTATTACAAATTGTCAGCACTGTATTTTAAATTCATACAAAGAAAATATCTAGTAGGTATTCTCTTACTTCTGTACAAACATATTTGATAATGTTCTTTAGAAAGCTGCTCTACCACCAATACTAATGGTAAAATAGTGATATAGGTTGCATTTAAATTATGACAGCGCACTGTGAAGGTGTCATGGATGACATCTGATTTCCAAGACAACCCTGCAGGAAAGGCATTGTCTTTATTGTAAATAGGCTTTTACATGTTAAATAATTTGCTTCAGTGTATACAATGTGTAAGACCTTGGCTCAACCTAAGGTTTCTACATTCCAAAGTCTGTACTATCTTGCATCTCAAAGCACCAACTCCCAGCAAGTTCTCGTTTGTTGTTGAAAATACATATTTTTTGTCATCTACTTTCAACAGTAAGTGTTTTTATGAGGATAAGTCATTAACATAAAGTATTGATGATATTTTTCAATTTACCAGAATATTTGAATACCAGAACATCCTCCACCCTGGCTGTGCCAGATAACTAATTATTTTAATTACAGGAATTATGAAGTATTACAAACATTAATGCCTTTTTCTAGTATTTCTAGGATTCATCAAACTTCCAGCAACCTTTTAAGTTTAACTTCTGTCTTTTCTCTTGCCATTTCATAAGAGTTAGTGTTTCAATAATTAGATTTTATATTATCTCCAGGTTCTCAGCAAGCATAATGGATGAAAGAAAAACTTTGCTGGCTGCTAGAATTGAGACTTTTGTTTGTTATGATAGTAGCATTATCATACCATTTCCCCCCACTTTGTTTAGGGAAAAAATGTATACTTCCTAATATCAAGCCAAATGTCTATTTCCCAGATTTTACCTAAATTATCTTCCCTGAGGCCATGGCTATTTAAAAACTGTTTTAATGGCCCTCATTGGGGTGTGGTGGAAATGTTCTAATTGCCTTTGCTAAAAACAAGGGTTTCATGTAAATTGAATTTTTCTTTTAGGATAATTGCCATTCACTTTTGTTTTATATGCAACTGAGTGGGGTTTTTGCAGTATTCTCAGTGGACAATTAGAGTGCTGAAATTGGAGAAAGCTAATAATTGCTTTGTGTGGCAATACTGACGACTTCTGCATATTTGTCAATCTGTGTTAACAGTATCGATCAGGATGGGATCCTCATAGAGGGGCAGATAATATTTCCACAAAATCTTCGGACAGTGATGTAAGTGATATATCTGCGGTTTCAAGGACTAGTAGTGCTTCTCGTTTCAGCAGCACAAGCTACATGTCTGTCCAATCAGAACGGCCGAGAGGAAACAAGAAAATCAGGTGAGTAACGGGCCATCAGCCTTCAACTCCTCTCAACAGATTGTAGAAAGCCTTTGAGTTTGTTTTGGGGTTTTTTTTCCCCACCTTTGTACAAAGTTAAAATTCTCTTTTCCTAAAAGTATAAGATACTATCATCTGGATAGCAGGAAACTGTGTCTGTATTACTTTTCATTGTATCGTAGGACAAATTTCAAACTACATAGAAGAAAATTGGGATATTTTGCTTCTAGGTTAGTTGAAGTTTATCATTAGTTGTTTAATGTTAGAAGTAATGCTTTTATTATCATATTTTGCTTAACCCAAAATTAAAATGATAACTATGTGAAGATGAATAAGCAATATTACTTTGGGATTTTTTTCCTTCCTGAATATGTTTTAGTGATGCAGAATACATAAGAATACTGCTTTCTTCATAGGGTCCATCCCTATGGTCCTGCAATATTTATACATTATGCATGGATAAATTATACATTATACGTGGATAAATTATACATTATACATGGATAAATTATACATTATAAATGGATAAATTCCTCAGCTCGTCAAGGAAAAGTATAAATAAGATATATACTAATGTGAATTGAATTTCTATAGATTTTAACCTGAGCTAATTAACCTTTCTTACTACATCTGGGTTGAAAAATCCCTGTAGTGGAAGGAACACAGCCTTTTGCCTTGTTTCTGTGAAAAGTTATGAGAGGAAAAAAGGAATTAAAATCAATTATGATTATGATTATGCTTATATAATGCTACTTTGATAAATACTGGGAAAAATTCTCCATGTTTAAAAGACATACTTTTTACTTAGGCTTTAATAGGTTTTCATTACTTAATTCTTTCTTGACATGATTTCCTTTCTTTTTTTCCCTTTGTGTTTGCATGCTTCCACTTTGGGTTGCTTTGAAAAGAGCAAAGGGATTAGAAGAGGGAGGGAAAGAAGGGGATAAGCGTGAAGAGCTAGTTCATGAGGAGGAAGAGGGGAAGGAAGAGAGAACCAATGAGGATGAGAAAGGGCAAGAGATTACAAAGCCTTGTGATAAGGAGAAAACCAAAGAATCAGGAGACGAGGAAAAAGCACAAGATATACCTGAGCAAGGGAAAGAAACAGAACAGTGCTCTAAAGAGGATTTGGAAAGGCGATTCTCCCAAGAGGATGACAGGTAAACTACGTTTAGTTATGTAGACGTTTCCCTTTAGTGAAGTAGAATTTGGTCCTTCCCCTCAAAACTAGCTTGTCATTTAAGTTTGGTTTCCTTTTCTTGTGTGTCTCAGCCACTTAGCTTCTAATGCCACATATTAACATGTTGGTTAATTGTCATCAAGTTATTGATCTGCTCAACAGTAGCTCATTGACGCTGTGTTTTTCACAACTCTGGATTTGTGGCAGCCTTACTGCTGGCATAGCTAATCAGCGTTTTCTGACAACATCATATGCTCCTTGCATGTCTCTGTGCCACATTTTTCCAGCTCTCAAGTGTTTCACCCTGTCTCACAATGCTATTATGCATTTAGTAGATGCAGCTATTTATGCTCTGGAAAACCAAAAAGTTGGCGTGATTCACTTTATTTGCAGTATTTACTTCTACATTGCAATGGTCTAAAACAAGACTCACAATATCTCTGACGGACGCCTGTGTTCACTGGCTCTGACAGTCTGTTGTAGAGGATCTGTAAGTTCTTAATCTTTAGGGAGTCAGATTTAAATTCTTCTTTAGCGTGAATGACTGTATCTTCCTTATTTGTAGAGGAATATGGTTCAAAGAGCTGAGTGAGAAAGAGAAGCTGACAAAATTTTAACAGAAAAGACTGCTTCCAAAATAAAGAGGCAGTAAATCTTTAAATTAGGGAAGTTACTGAATAAGAAATATTCTGTACTAGAAATTATTTACAAGAAAAAGTGACAAAGTAGGGGACATCAAGGGAGTTTTACTCAATCTCTGCTGCCTTTTCTGTTTTCTGGTAGTTTGCAGTGCAGATGGAGGCCCAAGGAAGTTAACACGCAAGGATAATGCTCCTTGGTTCTCCAAAACTTAGATGTGCCAGGACTTCTGTGTTTGTCTAGACCCATCTAGACATTTATTTCAGCTAGAAAATTGCCAAAGGAGCAACTTGGGAAAGAAAATAAAAGGCAATGCATAAAATCCAACCAGCAAAGCATAAAAACAACTACATGTCTTTATTTTCATTATCTAGCACATAAAGTCAGAATGAAATTAGTGTTCCAGAGCTCTACTAAAAGGGAAAAACAGCACAGTATGTAAAACTCTTGTTCAAGGGGATAAAATCGCTCTAGTTACATTTATCTAATACTGAGAATTACAAATCATCTACATTCTGGAGAGATTTTAGTTTACTAGCCATGTAGAATTTGATATTGTGTTAATACAATGTCTGTTATGAGTCAGATTTTATATTATTATATTGAAATTATATATGTTAGAATATATAATTAAAATATAATATAATATATTAAAATATCAATTTTCTTTTTGGTCATAATTTGTCATTGTTGTGCACCATTGTCAGAGCTTACTCATAATTGACCTGCCAGTGGGTCCAACACTGCTTTCAAAAGCATTAAATCTTAACAGAGGACACTGTCCATCCTTCTCCATGGAGCATTGATGGATTTGAACCTCAAGCCTTTGAAATTGAAGTTACGTGTCTTAACAACAATTTGAACAATAATCGGAGCAGACATCTATACCTTAAATACACAGTTAGTAAGCAACAAATCGGTTTTGTCTGTGATAATTCCCCTTTTCCCTTAGAGTTGTGTGTCTGTGACCTACAAAGTATCTGTAAATTATTTAGCAGCCATCTAAAAATGAAGCTGCAGTTATGTTTATGTGGTGATTTGCATCTAAGCCAATAATATTAAGTCTGCCTTTATTACTAACATAACTTTTGACAATTACATTGGCTTATTAAGAAAAATGAAAGCCTCCATCCTTATTTCTCAGAGAAAATTTTACAAGATGATCTCTATTCAATATAGGTACAAACACATTACCTGATTAGTGGATGTCTGAAGCCTAAAACCTTGTCTTGGAGGGTGATGGTTTGGAAAAATGTATACTTTTAATCTTCCTATATTTTTAATATTGCCTTCTTCATTTGTTTTTCAAGAGCACAATATTTTATGACAAAAGATGTCAGGTCCTAATAATCTGATTCATCAAAGCCCTGTACTCAGTTTAAGTATAGTATTTCTGTGACTATAAATTAAAGGAGGCAATGGTAGATCTTTTCCTCATCTATTGAAATAATATCTTTTACATCAGAATTAAAATGTGAAAACATTCACATGACTGTAAATATAATTTGTTGCAGATAGCACATTTATGTCTATGCTGTATATATCTTTTTTTTTTTTGCTATGTACATCTTTAAAGGGGAAAGAGTATATGTTGTAAAAGTAACTTTGGATTAGGATCTAAAATACTAGATTCTCAACACTGACTCTTTCATGTGTCTCTAGTCACTCTCTCTGGATTTTTATGTCTGATGGAAAAATGAATAATTCACACTCCTTCCCATATTAAAAATTAGTTTCCACGCAGGAAACTGAAAAGTAAATTGTTGCACTAAAGTTACACTAAATTATCTGTTATACTAGTGATTTATTTGGCTTTATCCTGAACACAAGAGATGATAGATAAGTTCAGATGAAGCTGAATAAAATGAAAACTAATCAACAATGGCCCAAATATGATGTTAAATATATACCCCCTGAATTTCAGAAACTGTCTCTAGAGTAAATAGTTTAGAAGCATTTAATAGTAATGACCAAATACCAGAATAATTGTAGCATGTCATCAAGGACTTCATACATAAAGAAACCAAAAGTCAGATGGAAAGACAAGATAGGAAGAAAATACTAAAATGGTTGTCAGGAGACAGGTGAACAAAAGATTTCAAAAGACAGCTTGAGAAGACTAAACAAAGCTTTCTAATAAAATGTGCAAAGACCTGAAGTTAGAAAACCAAAAGAAAAGAATATGCTCAGCATATCTCAAGCTGAAAGAACCGAAGAACAAATCCAAGTGTCAAGTTGTAATATGGAAGGATTCTGTGAGCATATTACTGAGTAATGTAGGAAGCATCAAAAGAAATGGGAGGAATACACTGAATCGCTCTACCAAAAAAGATTGGTCAACACTGAACCATTTCAGGAAGTGGTATATGATCAAGTACCAGTGGTACTGCAGAAGTACTGTTCAACTTGGAAGAAGCCCAAGCTGTACTGAATGCACTTGGGCGGGGGTTATCTCCAGGGATAGACACAATATCATTTAAGATGCTTATCTACTCCTATAAGGGGGTGAGAGAGAGTGATTCAACAATTTCAAGGAGTATTTTTAACTTTCATATGAGAGTATAATATTGATAAATTTATTGAAAAACAGCTGGAACAGTCTATCAAGAGGGAACTGCTAAAAAATTCAAACTGGACTCAGACAACAAATATGATTGCTGACATCAGATGGATCTTGACTAAAATCAAAGGAATACTGGAAAGATTGGCTAGATATAGGTCTTTGACTATGTGGATCCTTGGAAACTCTGAATAACACGAAGAAGATTGAATTCCAGAACTTTACAGTATTCATGTGGTACCTGGAAGAAGCAGTCATTTAGACAGAACAAGAGAATACTTCATGGCTTAATATCAAGACAGATGGGCAACAACCAGTGGTACATAGACGATACAACTTTACTTGATGAAAATAAGGACTTGAAACACACATTCAGTGTAGTCTGAAGACAACAGTCTCAGCATGAAGAAACCAAAATCCCCACTGCCAGATCGTTAGACAGCATCATGATAGATGGAAGGAAGATGGAAGTTGTTGGAGATTTCATATTGCTCGGATCCACAATCAACAACTAGAGAAGCAGCATTCAAGAAATCAAATGATGTACATCATTGGACAAACTGACTCCCACACCAGAGTGATTGAAAGGATGGTACAAAATTGAGCAAACTTTTCATTTGG